AAGCAGACCTCTTCTCCTCAAGGGGAAAGGTCAGTTAGTTCAATAGACTTGGTGTTTGTAATAGGGAGATCCTTACTCAGTAACAAAGCCCCTCTGTCCCCCTCCCTTCCGAGATGCTAGCGAATCTTCTTTCTTTCTTTTCTACTTTACCTCATTTTTGTTGTCTTTTTCTCTTTTTAGTGCTGACTCTTATTTTTCCTCGGTTTCATTATTTTACAATTTTGCTTCTTTTACTTGATCTTTCTGCTAGTCTTTCTACAAGTTCTCTTTGCTAGACAACCCTCTAAGTCTGCCTAAAAGATACATTTAAGTCTGGTGGTGCTGGCACACACCTTTGATCCCAGCACTAGGGAGACAGAGGTAGGTGGATCTTTGGGTGATCGAGGTCAGCCTGGACTACAAAGCTATACAGAGAAATCCTGTCTTGAAACACAGTAACAAAAAAAAAAAAAAAAAAAAAAAAAAAGATACCTTTAGGCCAGTATTTTTTTTTTTTGGCACAGTTATGGGAAGGACAAAAATGCAAAAATTGGAACTAAACAAAAAATTAATTCTGATGAGTGAAAGCAATAAATGTAAGAAAAAAATGATGTATATTTTTAAAAGTGAATTTTTTTACTTTGAAGCCCACGTAGGCTAATCTAATGTTGATGTGGAAAATGAACGAGGGTTGAGGTGGTCAGATCTCTGGCTTTGCTGGAGTCACTTCTCTTGAGTCAAAGATTCTGTGTGTGTGTGTGTGCTTTGTGTGTGTGTGTGTATTTTGTGTGTGTGTGTGTATTTTGTGTGTGTGTGTGTGTGTGTGTGTGCGCGCGTGCATGTGAGACAGAGTCTCATTATGTTGCCTAGGCCAGCACTGAACTCCTGGACTCAAACAATCTTCACGTGTCAGCTTCTTGAGTAGCTGGGATTACAGCCTTTACCACCACACCCCACCAGTCTTGGCATAGTCACTGAACTCTACAAAGTTCTCTTCAAGAGCAAGACTTCTAGAGATATTTAACAAACTAGTATCACTCCTAATGATATTATATGTTAAGGACCAGGGTAAATTAACAAGCAAATCATTTCCACAGTCAACCCTGAGAAAGACTGCAACCAACCACAAAAAAAGGGAAGTAGCTGATGGATGGAAAATCTCCTAACTTCTAAGTTCTTCTCAGTCCTGGTCTCAGGGAAAATAAATTAAATGTAAGCCCACGTACTTTTTCTTGGGTCACCCATTTTTCCAGTATGAGAAGCCAGAGCCAGGCTAATCTTTGAGGGTTGATATCTGGTCCGCATCTGAAAAAGAAAAGAAAGATTTAGCAAAACAGGAGTTTCAACTGACCCTTTCTCTTTTGTGATTCGAGCTTTATATATCAGTTTTCAGTGCAGTTCACTTTAAATTTAAACAAGCAAGTCCTAATGAGAAATTCTCAATTGCGAGTAACAGTTGAACCAAACAGAACCACGTAACTTTCAGCTCCCACTGACACCTGTACTACCTTATCTAATTTTTTTTTTTCCCGAGACAGGGTTTCTCTGTAGTTTTTGGTGCCTGTCAGGCGTGCGCCACCACCGCCCGGCTACATTATCTAATTGTATTGTATCTTCCCAGCTGCAGTACTGCTAGGCTTGAACTCCTGGGCTCCAGAGTGTCTGGAGCTACAGAAACAGCCTCACCATACCTGGCTTAGTTTTATTTTTAGAAATACTCCCAGAGAAAGTCACCGTTCATTTGAAATATATGTATATATGTCTATGTATAAGTATGTATACAGACAAACACACATACATAGACATAGACACACACTCTGTCACTCACTGTTTTGAGACAGGGTTTCTTTTTTATTTCTTTTTTTTTGGTTTTTCGAGACAGGGTTTCTCTGTAGCTTTGGTGCCCGTCCCGGAACTAGCTCTTGTAGACCAGGCTGGCCTCGAACTCCCAGAGATCCGCCTGCCTCTGCCTCCCGGGTGCTGGGATTAAAGGTGTGCGCCACCACCGCCTGCCCTGAGACAGGGTTTCATACTGTACCATTTAGGTTGATTTTGAACTTATAGCAATCCTCCTGCCTCAGTTGAGACACATGTGTTAAACTACCATACCCAGCCCCTAAGTGTACTTTTGAATACCAAAAGTGAATCAAAGACAAAAGAATAAAGGGAATACATAGAAATTCATTTTTAACTATATAGTTATAGGAGTTCATAAGCCTCACTTTGAAGTCAGTAGATTGGGCAGTACCAACCTAGAACCCAAATTTAAGGGGGGAAAAAAACACCATAAAAGTGATTTGTTTCTCTGGTCTTTATGTGCTAATCCAATAATTCCACAGGCTTACAACAGGACAGTTAAAGAGATAGAACAAAATAGTACATGATACTAGTTCATAGCACTGCTAGGAATGGAAAGATCTAGGATGAAGAACCTCGGTTACCAAGAGGCAAGAAGGGGTCACAGTGTAAATATACAGTATAATAGGAAGGGCGAGAGAATCCATGCGCAGTGAAGCAGGGCATCTTTATCTTCATTACAGTGGGGTTAAGTCAACCCTCACATGGGTAAAACCTCATAGAATTACAAGTAAAAAGCAAATATAGAGTCAAAAATGGTGAAAATCAAGTAAGATCTTTACTGTAGCTCCTGCACTAAGGTCAGTTTCCTGGTTTTGATGTCTTACGACAGCTGGATTAGCTGTCACAACCGGGGAGCTGGTAAAAGGGGGACCCTGGACTCTATTATTTTTCAACTTTTTGTGGATCTACGATTATTTCAAAATGCGAAGTTTTAAGTTAACGCACAATCAGTCCTTTGTTAAAGCAACACCACCACTAATCTCACGAACAAGAGGAGAGGGTAGGTTGGTCTTTTGGTGACAAGATGCAGTTACACCATCTTTTATCGATAATAAACAAGGAACAATTTCAGGAACCTTTTGGTAGCCAGGCTTAAACTCAGCTCCAGAGGGTAACCCAGGGCCAGTGGAATATATTAAATGTAAAATACATTAAACAGATAAAGCATCAGAATATTGAAATGTGCTCTATTTCTGCTAACTTTAAAGAAAGTAGTTGATTGGGGGCATTAAGACCAGAGTCCAAATATTAAACCACGTGTCTTCCTCTCTAAGATTCTGGAAAAGAGGGAGATCGCTTACCTTAGCAGAACGGGACACTGCACCAGCGCCTGCAGGATGTCTTCCACCTTTTTGGGGATATCCCCTTGTCCCTTGTGTAGCTGAGGTACACATGCTTGTGCCAACTCCCAGTCGCCCCTCCGCAGGCACTCACAGAAAAATTCAAAAAGTTGCTCCTCGGTAGCGGTTTCCTCTTTTCCAAACGGGTAACTCATTTTCCCAGCACAGAGTGCAGGGAGATAGAAAGGGAGGTGTTACGCCGAATACATTCTCAATTTTCTCATTCGAGGAGTACCTCCTAGAAACAACAGACCAGATGAGAAGAAACGAAACTGTTTAGATAAACCACCAGCTATCAGCCCGAAAAGAAAAGACAGAACTTACTTTTCTAATTATTGTTTTAGGTTTAATTTGACCTGTTACTATCTTCTTTCGAGAATCGCCTCTTTCTCTAAGGGGTGGATCCCATCTCCTAACGCAGATCCCATATCTAATAATCTTAATATTTGTGTTACCCTGGGGCGCAGACACATAAATTTACTTCCGCATTCGCTCCTGAACATTTTGCTAATAGGATTACAAATCTCGAGGTGGGTGTCTCGGTTAGGATGACACTAAACTCCTTTGGTTTCAGCCTTCTGTTAAGGCAGAGGATTTGAAGATCAGGAGATCAATCTGGGACTGAACGGGAGAGCCGGAAGGCTGGGGGACAGGGATGCTCCCCCTAGCGGGGTCGGAGACAGCACCCTTGCCGTCTTCCCTGCGCTTTACACTCACCTGCTCCGGGAGTCAAATGCATTTTAGCTTTCAGGGCAGCCATGTTTGAGTCCAGTCAGGTGACAGATCCCATTGCGAAGAGTGGTGGAAAGGGGTTGGGATGACGAATAAGAACGGCACTCTTATTGGCTTAGAAGAAGGAAGATGCAAATCAAGTACCAGATTTATTTGAGTACGTGACACCCGATCGCTAGGGTGAAGCTACGGAAGATTTAAAAATCACGAGTTACTGGGCTGGAGGACCCTCTCCAATTTTGGTTGATCTTCTTTACAGTTACGCTTTTCGGGGGAGTTGACGTCAGAAAAAGCTGTCTGTGTTCCACAGCTCCACTCCCGCCACCGTCTCAGTGCCAACCAGTGACAGATGCTGGGGATGTCCACAGAAGTCCTGGGTCCTCCTGCATCATTATTCTACTTGGAATATATATATCCATTCATACATAAATATATACTTATATATATATATTACAATACATAACTATATGTAAATCTGAGGACCGAGGTCGACACAGAGGAATTGCGCAACCGAAAGCAAGGAGTGAGCAAAGACTTTTGCACAAATTCAGTAATCAAGCCAGTTCTTAATTTTATTTGTCTTACCGCAGCTGCTTTATAATTAAACCTACTTGATTTCCTTTATTTCATTTTCAACTTCACTCTTGTTTTTTTCAACACATATTTTAATTTGAGACCCTTTAGTTAGCTTCATTTTCACAATTCAAGTTTGGTGAAAGTGCAAAGTAAAACAAACACTAAGCTCTCTTTCCAAAACTGGAATAGGCAGATAGCCCATACTTTCTCTAACTCCTCAACCCCCAAAAGACGCTTCTCTGGCCCAGGAAGTAACTTAAAAACGCGATTCACTAGGGAAAAGAATTTCCAGGCAAGGTTTTTCTTGCTTCACACTCGCCTTGACAGGTTCTTCCCCTCGAGTTTGACCCTCAGCTACGAGTTGGAACTACAATTCCCAGAATGCAGCGGGACCAACCCGAACTTTTGCCTGCTTCTGATTGGGTGAGTTTCCAGAGTACCGACCAACCAGCTCTCCAGTTGTTGCTGTGGGCGCTTTTCGCGGGTAATTGTGTGAGGGTGGGGGAAAGTTTGAAAGTTCGATGCTGCTGACCTGGTACTGGAGTTTTCTGAGGGGGGCAGTTGTGGGCAAGTGGGTGTGCTTATCTCTTACCTTCTCTCCGGTCCTGTGGATGTTGATACCGGGGTGGCGGAGAGTCCTGGGTGCCGGTCACACCCTCTACTTCCCGTGGGGCTCGTCCGTGGAACCCCAAATTGGGTCCAGGGGCTTCAAGACTTTCTTTGGGGTGGGTGATGCTTGGAAGCTACCCTGCTTTATTAGGGCGTTCTGCAGGAGGATTTCTACTTCTTGATGCCTCTCTCTCCTCTTCGGAGTAGTTAGGGCTCTGGGCAAGTTTAGGGACTGTCACACGTAGTTGAAGAGCGAGGAATCTGGAGTCTGAGCTCTGGATTAGAACTCGTGCTCCATCCTTGGCTAGTTTGCGCGTTTCTCAGCTTAGTGCCTCAGACTAGTTTTATGTGTAAGATGAAGTAAAAACACCCGAAGCATTTAAAATTAGTGTATGTCGCGTATTAAGGGCCCAATACATAAATTAATCCCCCAAATCCCCCAAAACAGCTGTTTTTATTGAGTCGAGTCTGTGTTGCCATCTCCTCTGTCTCACATACATACAGACAGACAGAAAGACAGACAGACACACGCGCGCAGAAAGAAAGAAAGAAAGACATAAGCTATAAAATCGTATAGATTAGATTAAGGAAGATATATGTGCTAAGCGTGGTAGTAGTCGTGGAAAGGAAGAGACTGATTATCGAAGGCTTTGCCTGTGGAAATGGAAGATATGTGCTTGAGGAACCTAACATAACCCAACTTAACCTAACCTTGTGGACGGTCACGCTGGAAGAATCCCATGTTTGTCGGTGATGCTGGCCTATGTTGAGCATTAATGCAGCAGCTCTCCAGTAGAAACTGGAACTGCCCTTATTTTACACACGAGCAAGACAGTGCTCTGCGAAATCTGATATTTGAGGGAGAGCTAAATAGGGGACCCCCCCTTTTCAAGTTGTTTTTTTTTTTTTTATGTGATCCTAAAAGTTTGGAAGTGGTCATATGGTCTGATAGTCCCACAAAACATTTTAAGCAATGAGACCGACTTAAGGAAGCTACTTGTAGGATTGTGACGTTCATCCTATTTTTTTTTTATTTTAGGCCATTTTGAGACTTCTCCCCGTCTGTTTCTTCAGCAGCTACAACTATACTTGTTGCATAGTTGTAGTTATTTGAGTGTATATCTCGCCATCTTTCAGTTGTAAGTATGAACAACAGAGGAAATGAGTTTTACACCCTTGAGCAGAGTGAAAGAAACAAACAAATGGAGAATATTATAATTAGAGAATTGATATTATATTTGGTAGAGTAGATAATAACTCGAAGCCATAAGCAGCAGTGTGGCCAAGTGATGGGAGTGGTACTATTAAATAGAATGGTTATTGCTAAGGTCTTTGTAATTTTGGGTTATAAGTGGTTCTTGTTTTTGTTGTTTGTTGGCTTGTACTTACTCACTAAGTGATGGTATTGCCTAGCACTACCTTATCTGAAATGCAGTAGGCAACGGAATAGCAGGTAAGCGCTCTCTTTTCTCCTAAAGAAACAAGTCAGCCCTAACAAATTCCCCTTGAGAGAAATAAAGAATGTGTTTTGTTTTTGTGGAGAGAGAGGAAAGTAGGAGATGGGGGATGGAGGGAGAGAAAGAGCAGGGGCTTCATGTAATTCAGATAATTTCAGTGTTAAACAGAATTGGACTAAGTGGTGTGGTAGCAGATACCTTAATTCTTGTTTATAGATTTGTTCTTTGATGTATAGTTTGATTGTTATTGCTTCATGGAATAATGAGTTCCTATTCCTTTATTTCTGGAAGATATTTTGCCATATCAGTGAGATACATAGCCATTTCTTTGCATGCATTATGACAGAAATTACAACAGTTCTAACTGCCCAAAGACTAATATTGCATGAGTCTCATTTAGCAAGGTACAAGAAGAACAGAATTTAATTCTATATGGGACAGTAAGCAGCTAGTACAATAATGAATATGTTTATTGCTAACACTTATACTAGTAAAGTCTCATTTGATTGAGATTTGTTCTGACTCTTAGAAAACGCAAGGGTAAATAAGATTTGTGTTCCCCTAAAATGGTTCTGGTTCAGAGAATAGGTCTCAGTGTCAAACTGCCTGGATGGAATTCTAAATCTGCTGTTTATTTTTTTTCTTTTGATAACAGCGGAATATGTGACGTTTGCAGAGTAGCTTTCTCATAAGCTAAAAAATAACTTTAATTATAATCTGTTGAGAATATTAAATATAAAGTTTGGAGCATGGCTGGTATATAGTAGAAGTCTAGTTATTATTACAGTTGAGTGTAGAGTTGCTATTTGGAAATGCATCTTGAAGAGTACATAACCAAATGAAATTTGTAAATAATGCTCAATATCTTAATATTGTTGTAAGTGATGGCTAGTCGTGGTAGTCAGCTTGACTCCTGAGAAGAGGGAGCCCCACTTGAGGAGTTGCCTCCCCCAGATGGGCCTGTGGGCATTATCTGAGGGGACATTTTCTTTATTGTTAATTGATGGAGGGGGGCTCAGAAGTAGGGTACTTGTGAGTGGTTCTACTCCTGACCTAGGATGCCTAGTGAGTGAGCAGGGGAAGCAAGCCGGGAAGCAGCATTGCTCTGTGGTCTCCGCTTCTGTTTCTGCTTCAGGCTCTTGCCTGGAGTTCCTGCCTTGGCTTCCCTTGACAATAGAATGTAATTTGTAAGCCAAATAAACCCTTTCTTCCCAAGTTGCTTTTGGTCAGCATTTCATCCCAGCAACAAGAAGCAATCTAGTCTACAATGTAAATATGAAGTGCTGTTGAAGTCATGTAATATCCAAGAATTGTATGGAATCTGTTTTCTGAGGTTGCCTTCTTTCTCTGTAGACATGCTCAATAAGCAAGTGTCTCTTCTACTTTTATTAGCAATTTACTCTGTCCACTATCATTTTTATTACTTTCTGATGTTTTTCAAGATTCTTCGGGAGATCTAGAAATATGAGCAGCAAGAAACTAAGACGAGTGGGTTTCTCACAAGAGCTGTGTGACCGTTTGAGCAGACATCAGATTGTTAATTGTCAGGTAAAAATTTTATGTGTTTTTAGATTCATGTTATATGCAAATTAATTTTAAGATAACCTTTACTGTTAGACTTGGGTTATGAAGATTTAGGGTTGTAGGGGCTGGGAATGTGGCAGAGTCAGTAAAGCCCTTGCCGTGTAAATGTGAGGACCTGAGCCTGGATGCCCAACACTGTCACAACAAGCCGGGCCTGGCACATCTCAACTGGCTCCAGGGAGGCAGAGACAAGAGGATCCCTGGGGCTTGCCAGGTAGCCAAGCTAGCCACATTGTAACCTCCACATCTGTCCCAGAGGTCTGTTCTTAAAGAGAGACTAAAGGAGACATCCAATGTTGACTTCTTGCCTCCACATGCCTAGACAAAAATAAAAGTAAAAACTTAGATGTACAGGGACTGGAGAGATGGCTCAGTGGTTAAGAGCATTGCCTGCTCTTCCAAAGGTCCTGAGTTCAATTCCCAGCAACCACATGGTGGCTCATAACCATCTGTAATGAGGTCTGGCGCCCTCTTCTGGCCTACAGGCATACAGACAGAACATTGTATACATAATAAATAAATAATTTTTAAAAAAACAAAGCTTAGATGTATAAAAGTAAGCAAAATAATGCTGCTTTTTTTTTTTAAAGATTTATTTATCATGTATACAACATTTCTTCCATGTATGCTTGCAGGCCAGAAGAGGGTACCAGATCTCATTTTAGATGGCTGTGAGCCACCATGTAGTTGCTGGGAATTGAACTCAGGACCTCTGGAAGAGCAGTCAGTGCTCTTAACCTCTGAGCCATCTCTCCAGCCCAATACTGCTTCTTATAAGTGATTTAGGTTGCATTTCTAGTGGAATTTTATTTACTGAAATATGATATTTTTTTATTTTAAGATGAGGATGATCATAGCATAAGGAAGTATGCCTGTGCCATTTATTTGGGGTTCCTGAGAAGTTTAATCCACTTACAATTTTTTTATTATTACCTGAGAGATATGACTTAAGTGATATTACAGCGAGGATGATTTCTCTTAGGAGAGACATTAATAATTAGGGTTATTATTATGATTTACTAATGTTGGACCTTGAACCCCAGGTTTAAATGTTCTGCAACTGAGTTATACCCCAGTCCAGCAGTAAATTTTTAGGATAAAAATATACAACAGAAGTTGCTTTTTTCTTCTTCTTTTCTTTTTCAGATGCTACATCTTTAAGAACAGTAATGAAGAAAGTCCCTCTTAGGAGGGCAGATTAGGGTCAGAGTTTTATTTTCGGATTTTTGTCTTTATTTTTTTTATTTTTTATTTTTTTATTTTCGAGACAGGGTTTCTCTGTAGCTTTTGGTTCCTGTCCTGGAACTAGCTCTCTTAGACCAGGCTGGCCTCAAACTCACAGAGATCTGCCTGCCTCTGCCTCCCGAGTGCTGGGATTAAAGGCGTGCACCACCACCACCCGGCCTGGATTTTTGTCTTTAATAAACATATTTTCATAATGTATAATGTTTGTGGATTGTTTATTTCAGGGATATCTTTGTTTATTCTGTTAATACATTTAATAATCATGTTTATATTTTAAATGGTTTAAAAAGCATGAGTTAAACATTTTATTCTGTATTCTGAATTAAACATTAAACATCCCCACATCCCCATTCTCTCAGTTGATACTTTTCTCTGAGTTACCTTTTTTTTTTTTTTTTTTTTTTTTTTTTTTTTTTGACAGGTTTTCTCTGTAGCTTTGGAGTCTGTCCTGCCTCTGCCTCCTGAGTGTTGGGATTAAAGGCGTGTGCTACCACTGCCCAGCTTCTGAGTTAACTTTTAGCCTAGAAGACAATCACTTTTTAACCTGATTCTTTCTGGGCATATATTGAACCCAAACTCAAGCACAGTGCTGACATAAACTTGGACTGGGTGTTGCTGTTCATGATGTCGCTTGATGTATCTTCTGAGACACGCCAGCTGGACTGTGTAATGGTATATAATAGTGTAATAGTGTATAATGGTGTAATAGCTGGTCTGTGTAATAAGACTGCCTTACATCTCCGAGTTAAGGCCTAGAAGCTCAATGACAGAATCTAAAATAGGCACGTATCTTCTCTCTGCAATAATTTCACTTCTGTTTCGAGATGAGCAGTGATAACTGAAAGTTTCCTTATATTTGCTTATCTTTTAAATTAAAAGAGCACATGATGAAAACTACTTTTTAATTCCTATGTCTTAGCTACACATGTATGCTAAATATTTATTTGTACCTTTTTTTCTTTTTAGGACTTTTTAGATCTCTCCCCACTGGAACTTATGAAAGTGACTGGCCTGAGTTATGGAGGTGTCCATGAGCTTTTGTATATGGTCAGCAGGGCCTGTGCTCCCCAGATGCAAACAGTACGTGTAACTCAGCCACGAGGGGCATTACCCCCTCTGAGGGTCAGGGCAGCTCCCTCCTGTGCTTAGCTAAAATGTGAAGGATGACTAGGGGAGACAGACAAAGACACTGGGGTTAGAGAAGGGCCGGGAAGTGTCTGGCCTTTGCTGTAGCAAATGCACAGGCTGAGAGGGGCACTTGTTCAGCGGTAGGCAGGCTGTGCCTGCGGAACCCAGTGAGTTCTGCAAAGATGCAGCCAGAAAGAAGCAGGAGGCAGCATGGGGTCTTGAAGACCATGCTAAGGATTTGGGAACATTATTCCAAAAGTAGTAAATCATAAAGGGGAGAGTTAGTGCATTTGAAGAAGATAGGTCTTGAATGCACATTAAAAACAAGCAAGAACTTATTCAGGGTCTACTAAAGTACCTGTTATGGTGTTGTGGAAATAGTGGGTAATGGGTTATTGGTGTGGTATTGTGGCAGAGGCTAGAGTACTGATCACTTGTTTTTTTTTTTTTTAAGATTTATTTGTTATGTATATAGTATTCTGCCTGCATGTATGCCTGCACGCTAGAAGAGGGCACCAGATCTCATTAGATGGTTGTGAGCAACCGCTGGGAGTTGAACTCAGGACCTCTGGAAGAGTAGCCAGTGCTCTTAACCTCTGGGTCCATCTCTCCAGCCCTGTAAAATTATTTTCGTTGCTACATCATAACTGTAATTTTGCTACTGTTACGAATTCTAATGCAAATATCTGTGTTTCCTGATGGTCTTAAAGGGTTTGTGACCCACAGGTTGAGAACCTCTGTTCTAAGCCATCCTTAGTATCTCCTCAAAATGATAATTTGTGGGGTTGGAGAAATGACTCAGCAGCTAAGGACACTGGCTGCTCTTCCAGAGGAGCCATGTTTCATTCCTAGTACCCACATAGCAACTCACACTATGACTCCAGTTCCAGGGGATCCAGAACCTTCTTCTGGTCTCTTCAGTCACTAGGCATTCATGTGGTTGACAGACACACATGCAGGCAAAACACCCATATACACAAAATAAAAATTAAACAAAATACGATAGTTTGTTATATTTACCACAAGTGGGTGGATTGAAAGAAGAGAAAGTTGTCTCAGTCTGGCTCAGGCACAGCTGCACCCTCTCTGGAGTGTCAGGGGAGAATCCCTTTCTCGCCTCTTCAGTTGCTGAAGAATGTTGGCATTCCTTGACTTGTGGCCACTCTCCCTCTGTTCCATCTTCACATCATCGTCTTCTAGTCTCCTATCGAAGTTGCCTTTCCCTGTGTCTTAGAAGAGTACTTTTGTTGGCATTTGTGGTCCACACACATAATCCGGGATTGTCTCATCACAAGGTCTTTAAGTTAAGTTATTCACATCTGCAGAGACCTTTTCTCCAAATATAGTCACATTCACAGACAAACTCCAAGGATTTGGTGTGGATATCTTTTAGGGGCCATTTCTCACCCATCTCTCCAGCCTCCTTCAAGCTGTACTTCACAAACAACCTGAGTTTGAGATGATCCCATGGCATGTTGCCTGCCCCAGAGCTCCTGGTGGGAAGCTCCTGCTTGCTTCTCCTGCATGCTTCCCCTGCATGCTTCCCCTGCTTGCTTCCCCTGCATGCTTCCCCTGCATGCTTCTCCTGCCTTGTCACATGCTGCCCTGCTGCCAGTCCGTCTTCCAGCCATCCTAAGTGAATCTGTTAAATTATTGTGGTTTGCAGTTTCCATTAGCTTCTGCTTCTTTCCCACTTCTTGGTCTTTCTGTGTGCATCCTTGCCTCTTTGGCAGGAATGTTCACATTCCTTTTCTCACCTAACAGGGGATTCAGAGTCTTGCACAGATCCCTAGCTCTTCAGTGAAGCCCTCTAGACCACCTAATGTCTGGGTTAGGTATAACTAGTTTGTAAGTCTAATACATTTGTAAGTTAACAGTGTTGTCACCTGGTGTTTGAATCCCATAGTCCTTGTTTTGCAGTAAGCCTGTGAGCATGGTAGCTGTTTGTTATAGTCCATCCTTATAATTTCGCATGGTCATTGGCACTGGGTAAATATTCACTAGTCAAATGAATAATAGAGGAAGGAAAGCTGAATTATGGTTACAGAGTTGGTTTGTAATAGCTGAAAGGAACTTAATGATTTTCCTTTTTAGGCTTATGAGATAAAGATGAGGTGGTCTGCTGGTCCCTCCCCAGCGTTCCTGTCTACTACCCTTTCTGCTTTGGATGAAGCCCTGCATGGTGGTGTGGCTTGTGGATCTCTCACAGAGGTAACGGAACCCATACCTTCTTCAATAAGTGTCAGCACCAGGAGGAATGCTTAGTTAAACAAAAACAAACATAAATTACCTCATGCAAACGAATGTGAATTAAGTCCTAAGTACTTTGCTGGTGTAGTCCTCTAGCCAGTATCAGTATAGTTGTTTTCTAAGCAGAGGCCTTAGACAAATCGTTGCTGACTAGACGTGCCCGGTTTTGGTTTCTTTGAACTGCTTTAGAAAGTGATGAGTACTGGGGTCTGAGGCGGCGGCTGGGTGGGCAGAGTCCTTACACTCGCCTTATAGTCTGGATCAGCAGCACCCGTGTAAGAGCCAGGTAGTGGTGTATGTCTGTGACGCCAGTGCATCGGAGAGGAACCCAGTCTGCCTCAGAGCACAGGACAGAGAGGAGTAGAGGAAGACCTCAAGTGTTGATCACATGCTCACTCGCCTGCACATGCACACGCACGCATGAAAACACGTGCATGCGTGCAACCACAATATTGTGAATAGTATTAGGAAACAATTTGAGGGAATTTAAAATAGGATCACTACTTAGCAGATTTGTAGTACGAGCCAATTTTGATAATATTTTAGCAAATGACATATTAAACTATAGTGAGCTATTTTTGTTTCTTGCTATTGATAGCATTTGATTCTAGGAAGCAATAACTTACTGTATTATTTTATGTTGCACAATGAATTATGTTCAAGTTAAGTGGCGTGAAGGAACCATTAACAGTGCCTTTGGGAGTGTCTGAGCTTAGTGATGCTGGCAGTGCCTACAGTCAGCCACAGCTCAAGATGCCCAGAGGAGCGCACTCCTAGGGGCATCGCTGGGAGGCTGGTGCTGGTGCTGGTTTTTTTTTTTTTTTTTTTTTTAAAAAATTCTTCCCTAAGTGGGGTCTTCATAGTCTGTCTTATCTTCTCTTGACATGCTGGCTGACTTCACTCAGGGTGAGTACTACAGGACAGCAAGCTGGAAATGGTGTTGTCCTTGGTGATTTCACCACTTCTCATGACATGTTCTCTTCATCGTGAGAACTGTAAGCCCAGCTCAGGGGCAGGGAAAGGAAATTTAGGCTCTGCCTATTGAATGAAGTTTCAAGAAGCGGAGGGCACTTCAGGGTCACTGTGTCTCTTTTCCTTGAAAGTTGTGTATGGGTGTGTGTGGGTGTGTATAGGTGTGTATGAATGTGGCACCCTTAGACTGCTTATCACTAACTCCTGAGAACTTGCCTGAAATTTTTAGAAGCAAACTTCTAAGAGCAGACACATTGTGTGTGTGTGTGTGTGTGTGCACGTGTGTGCATGCATGTATGTATGTGTTTCTGGGTATCAAACACAGGGCCTCAAGCATATTATACAATGTCTGGTTCACTGAGCTACATCCCCAGTGGCTTTTTTTTTTTTTTTAGTTCTCATAATCATAATTTAACTATAATGTTTTTCTTAAAGATAGGAATCCTGCTTTAGGCAATATTTTATTTTCTATATTCCTAGAGAGGTTTAAATACTGATGTGACTAGTAGGTGCCTATTAAATAAATAGTTGGGGAATGAATAAGCTAATTGAAGGGCTTGTGGTTGCATATGTCCCCACCAGATGGTGCTAAAATTACACTTTGCACAGTCATTTTGAGGTGAGGCTGGACCAGGGCACTTAAGGACTATAGGACTGATGGAGTTATGAGTTTATGTATAGAAAAAAATGAATGTAGATGCATGTGTTCCATCTTCAAATATTGTAGTGATTTCCCCACCTTTTCTCTTTAAATTCAAGTGAAGTTATAAGCCTTTGGGTGTTTTGTTATGGTTCATCTAGCTGGCTTGTAATGCTGATTAGTAACAACTTTTTTGCTTTCTGCCCTCATTAGATCATTTTAAAAATCTTTTGGGCCCTTTCAGTTAAAATAGCTTACCTGCTTCATCCCAGGTTTTTAACCATTCTCTGGTGCTTCCTGGGTTACACAGTTTTTGTTTTGCTTATTTTTAAACTTTAAAATCCATATATTTGTGATTAAGATTCATATCTCATGTCTCCTTCATAGATTGCTTTTCTCATTTAATGTTATTTCTAAGTTTTTTTTTCATGTTGCTTCAGGTAGCAAAACCATAATTTTTATTGCTGTATTATATTTCATTTTTAAAACGTGTCACAGTTTACTCCTTTTGTTATTAGTGAACATTTGGGTTGTTTCTCATTTGCTGCTGATATGAATAGGTCTTGTGAAAATTTTTATACACAGCTGCTGGATAACATAGGGAAGTTTTTATCTGGGGTAGGGATTGTAGAACCACCGCCCAAGAGTTAAATTCAGCTCACTGCCTGTTTGTATAAATAAAGTTTTATGGCCAAGCTCATTTGTTTACATTTTGTGTGTGGTTGTCTTGTGACATAAGGGCAGAGTTTAATTACCTGTTGTTGTGGCAGAGACCATATGGTATGCGAAGCCCGAAGGATTTTCTGTGTGGTCACTGGCCCGAGTGTCTGCCCCGGAGTGGTTAGGTGGTTGCAGGATGTGCACACGGATAACCTCACACAGTCAGAACCAGTGGTCCTCTACAGTGCTATCCTGGCTCATACTCCCACCATTCAAGCGCAGAAATTCTCCCTGTCCATCCTAGGGTCTTAGTTTTATTTTCCCTAACTGCTAATGATCTTTTAGATGTTATTTGGACACTTGAAGAACAACTTTTGCAGGTGTAATTTAAACAGCCAGAATCCATGCACGGTACACATCTAGCCGTGCAGTCACAGTCGGGAAGCTTGCATCCTCGTGGTTTCACTTGCAGCAGATTCTTGCTTCCATCGTAAGCCAGGCAAATACCAATCCGTTTTTATTCTCTATGATTTGCTTCTTGTAAGTGTTTCACATACATGGACTCATGTAGTTCATAGTCATTTCTGTTTAGTTTCTTCCACATGGCATTTTTAAGGTAACTAAATGTTATAGTACATATAAGGAATTTGTTCTTTTTAATCATGAATATTCCACTGCACAGATATTTTTGTGTGTGTGTGTGTACTGTTCGTTAGTTGATAGGTATTGGGTAGTTCCAGTTTCCATCTATCATAAATAACGTAACATTTATGGGTATGTGTGTGTGAAATAGATTTTTGTTAGTGAATATTCACCTAGGAATGAATGGAAGGATTGGATCATGTAATATACTTGGCTCTCTAAGAATCCGCCAGACTGGTTTCCAAAGTGAGGGTAGCATCCTGCATCTTCACTGGAATGCACAGTGTATTTTTCAATACACTCTCACCAACACTTGGCATTTTTTTTTCTTATGCTAGGTTTTGAACCTAGGCCCTCACTCGTGCTAAGTACACAGTCTGCCGCACATCTATGTCAGCGTGCAACAATGCCTGTTTCTGTTTTACTTTAGTTCCCCTCATGAATGTATGGGTTATTTCTCTGTGGTTTTGTTATATATTTCTTCAGTTTGTTAATTTTTTTGTCTATTTGTCTTTTTTAATGCAGGGTCTGGCTGTATAGCTCAGGCTGGCTTTGAACTTGTGATCATCTTGCTTCCTAAGTACTGTGATTACAGGTGTACACCACCATACCCAGCTTCTTTATTTTCTAAGAATCATCTTTTACTATGTTTTTAAAACTTATATTCCTGTTGCCTGCAGAGGCCAGAAGAGGGAGTTGGATTCTCTGGAACTAGAGTTACAGATAGCTGGGAGCCACTGTGTGGGTACTGGGAACTGGGAACTGGACTCAGATCCTGCAAGAGCAGCGAGTGCTCTTTTCTGTTGAGGCTTCCCGTCAGCTCCACATCTTTAACATTTCTTTGTGTAACAGCCTTGGCTTCCTGGAACTAGCTCTTGTAGACCAGGCTGGCCTCGAAACCACAGAAATCTGCCTGTCTCTGCCTCCCAAGTCCTGGGATTAAAGGCATGCCACCATTGCCTGGCTCACATCTTTAAGTTTTAATTGAATTGTTAATGAAGCTGATTAACGTTAAATTGGGGTCAACGATGTGACTCAGTGGGTAAAGAAGCTTGCTATCCAGCCTGGTGTTCAAAGTGTGATCTCAGGAACCCACATAGAGATGGATGAGAAAACCATCTCTAAGGAAGTGTTCTCTGTACCTCCTCTGCATGTGTGCACAGACACAGTAACAATATATACATTAACTAAAATAATTACTGTAGTGGGCGTCACCCTTGCTGGCTTTAAAAGGATTATCCTTCTCATATTTCATCATTAAAAATGATGGTGAGTCTCACTGAATCAAGTGACAGAAATTAGCGAGATGAGTGTGTTAGGTTACTGAACCTGTTATTAATTGCACTATGATGATATAAGAGAATGTCTTTATTAGGAAGTACACACTAAAATATTTAGTGAATAACTGATGTATACACTGGCTCAGATACTTGTAATAGGTATCTTACACATAAATATGAAGACTTGGGAGAAGGCAATAAAATGATAAACAAATGGGAAAATGTTAACTTAGTAGGTGTGGAAAATGAATTTAAATGGTTTCTGATATTCTGTTGTTACTGTTAGTTGTTGTATAAGTTTAAAAGTAATTTCAGACAGATAGTGAAAGAAAATCATGCAACCCATAATTGTTCATGTGTGCTTGGATAGAATAATTGTTCTCTAATTATGGGTTTCTTCTGTATATGATCATTAAATTAAGCATGCTATTTAAAAGTTATTTCCAAGGGCTGGAGAGATGGCCCAGCAGTTGAGAGCATTGGCTGCTCTTCCAGAGGTTTTGAGTTCAATTCTCAGTATCCAAAATGCCACTCATAAGCATTTCCCCAGGATCCAACACCCTCTTCTGGCCTCCATGGGTACTACACACATGGTGCTTAGCCTTGTATGCAGGCAAAACACCCATAAACATAAAAAGAAGTAATAATAATAAATATTTTGAAGGTTATTTAATCCTACTTTATCTTTATTGATCCCTCCTAAGTTGATGTAATACCTCTTTCAGGAGAGTTATTTAGCCTATTTCATTTTGGGGTAGACAAATTTT